GAGCCCGGAGTCAGGAAATGGGCAACTTAACTCCCATTTTTGAGTGGAAGCAGCTGCAAAATTAGGTGTTTTTCAGGGCAGCAAATGCAAGGAACCCAGTACGCCAGGTGACCAGACAGGGCAGAAGTCAGCAATCAGGTTTCATCTGAATAGTGCTGGACTTTTTAAAAATGGGATTTGGGATGGGCACTGTGGCACGACAGGTTATGCCAAGGCCTGGGGCCCGCATATCCTATATCAGAGTGCCTAGGAGAGTCCTGCCTCTGCTTCCTATCCAGCTTCCTGCTAATTCACCTGGGAAGGCCGTGGATGATGGCCCAAGTACATGGGTCCCTGTTACCCATGTGGGAGACCCAGATAGAGTTCCAGGCTCCTGGGTTTGACCTAGCCCAGCCCCAGCTGTTGTGGCTGTTTGGGGAGTGAACCAGTGAAAGATTCTCTCTCTCTGTTGGTTTGATTTTGAAATAAATCAAAATAGGTTAAAAAAATCTGGAATTGACTTTAAATGCAGAGCCCAGAGCATTGTGTGCAAACCTCCTCCTCCTCCTCATCTTCCTCCTTTTCTTACCCTTCTAAGGACATTTGTGATCAAAGCACATCTGCCCCGACAACTGGAGTTAATCTCGCATCTCAAATTCTGACCTATGCCTGCAAAGTCCCTTTGGCTATGGCAGGGACAGACTTGGTACTGAGATAGGACATGGACATATGTAGGGACAGGGGACGTCATCCACCTGCCCCAGGGCTAGGGTAGCACAGGACTTGTGTGTGGAGGCGAGGGCTCTTCTGGTCCTATCTCGGAGGACGAGGGGAAGCTTTGCTAATGCTGGTCCCACTGTGTTGTGCCCAGAGACACAAAGAGATGGCATCAAGGGGAGAGGACAGTGTGGAGAGAACCAGGCCTGGGTGTCCGGCGGAGCCAGGTCCGAATCTCAGCTCTGCCGGAGATGAACCGTGAGACTTGCAGAATGCACTTAATGGCTTGGGGGGCTCGCATCTGTTAGCAAGGGCCGAAAAGACAGCTCAGAAGATAGTGTGAGTAGGTGTGCAGGGCCCCAAATGGCCAGTGTGCAACGGACGCTGGCCCTGGACAGCCCCTGGGAAGCTTAGAGGATGGGAGGGGAAGTGGCCAAGGAGAGCTGATGGCGGCCAAGTGACCCCTGCCTCTTCCTCCACCCGCCTCCGTGCTGCACTGGGCGACGGGCACCATAGTGCGGCTGCCCTCTGGCCGTGCTGGCACGCTGCATTTCCCCTTTCCTGGCCCCTGCTGATAAGTATATCCTGTTGCATAAAAATACATCTACCCTTACGGTAAGACTCCCGGTGGGGAACTCGGAGCAGCCCCTTTCCAGCCCGGGGGGCAAGCATGGCCTTCCCCTGTAAGCCACGTAGGAGTGGCTGCAGTAAGCGGTGAGTCCCAACCCCAGGCTCAGGCTCGGGCAGGGCAGCTGGGGAGAGAGGCGGGGCTGGCCATGGCGACAGGGTGGTTTATAAGCACCATCTCCAGCTGAGACAAGTGCTTACCGGGCAGCGCCAGGTCTGAACACGCACCTGCTATTGCTCTTAACAGCAGCAGACAACCTGGTTAGTTCCCCCCGTGCCCCTGTCCCCAAGGAACCTGAGTCAGAGAGGCCAAGGACCTAGCTGGAGGTACAAGCTGGATTTGAACCCAAGTTTAACTCCAGGAGCCAGGCTTCTAGCTGAAGGCTGCCCACTGTGGAATCTCATTGAGGGAAATCACTCTCGAGGCTGAGTGAGTGGCTTGCCGAGGTTCCTGGCCACTCCTGGATGCTGTGGGAGATGGGTGGATGGCGACCAAGAGCCTTGGCTGCGGTATGCACAGGTGGGCTGGCCCCGAGAGACACCTGCCCACTACGTCCTCCTCCTGCTCCCCTGCGTCCAGGAAACATCACCGTGAGAGAGTGGATTCTCTGCTTCTTCAGTTTACCAGTGGGCACTGCTACAGCAGTGTGCATCTTCCCTGTTATTGGCTGCATTTCTAGTCCTCATTTGTATTTTTTTTAAAAAAGATTTGTTTTGAAAGAGTTACAGAGAGAGAGAGAGAGAGCGCGCGCAAGTGAGCAAGATCTTCCATCCACTGGTTTATTCCCCAAATGGCAGCAATGGCCAGGGATGAGCCAGGACAAAGTCAGGAGCCAGGAGCTTCCTCCTGGTCTCCCACATGGGTGCGGGGGCCCAAGCACTAGAGCCATCCTCTGCTGCTTCTCCAGGCACATTAGCAGGGAGCTGGATCGGAAGTGGAGCAGCCAGGACTCGAACCAGCGCCCATATGGGATGCCAGCGCTACGGGCGGAGGCTTCACCAGATATACCACAATGCCGGGCCCTCCTCATTTGATTTAAGTGAGGTAAAATTCCCTCAGTGTCTCCACTTAACACCTCAGTGGCATTTAGCACTCACAGTGCTGTGCAGCCATCACTCCATGTCCTTCCAGAACCTTCTCATCAGCCCCCAAGGAGACCCTGTACCCATCAACAGTCACTCCCCAGCCCTGGACAACCAGTCATGGGTTCTTCCTCCCCAGAGCCTCTTCTGGGCCTCTGTAGAGATGGATTTACGTAGCAGATAGCCCTGTGTGTCTGGCTGCTGTCACTTAGCGTGGTTTTGAGGTTTCCCATCAGCATCTCATTCCTGATGCGACTGATGTGACCCATGGCAGGGTGGTGGTGGTGGGGGGACAGAGACCACAGTTCATCGACCCACTCATCGCTGGTGAAGGCTGGCACTGGTTCCACCTTTGGCCGTCGTCAGCAGCTGCCGTGCACACTCGTGTGCCTGCCCGGAGAGACTCTCGCCGTTCCCTGCTCTTGGATCTTCACGCCTAGGAGGAGCACTGCTGGGTCATGTGTTAACACTGCTCCTTTCAAATTTTTCATTTGTTTATTTTCACCCATTTGAAAGGCAGGGAGAGAGACAGAGAGAGCGCTTCCATTTGCTGGTTTGCTCCCCAAATGCCTGCAAGAGCAGAGCTGGGCCAGGCTGAAGGCAGCAGCCAGGAGCCAGGAGCTCCATGTGGCTCCTCCACACGGTGACAACAGGGACCCAGGCCCTTGAGCCATCGCCTGCTGCTTCCCGGAGTGTGCATTACAGGAAGTAGAGCCCAGGCACTCAGGTGTGGGTGCAGAAATCCCAAGCTGCATCTTGATCCTTAGGCCGGACGCCCGCCTGCTTGCCCAGGAGCTCGACATCCCCACACTGGCTGCGCCAATTCACATTTCTACAGCAGGGCGTGCGGCTCCAGCCCCTCCATGCCCTCACTAAAAACCTCGCTTTCACCCTTGCCACCCTAGAGAGAGAGCAGCGACAGCTGCGTGGATCCAGCTGGGGAAACAGGTTTTTCAAATGCTGTGCGGAGAAGGATCCTGTGCATAAATGGCCAGGGGGCAGCGGGAGCGGCTGACCCAGCCCTGAGGAGGAATCCAGGCTTGCGCTGGGCCTGTAACAGCAGGGACAACTCCAGAGCGAGCCACGCGGGCGCCCTCGAGTCAGGGCTACGCTGAATCCATCTTGAATGAAGTCCTAATACATTTCTTTAAAATAAAAAATGCAATCGAACTTGATCTGGGCCAAAAACAAGCAGAAAGGATCTTGGCTCTCATCCGTTTCTGTCTCAGGGGGACACAGGTTGTCCTCCGTGGGCTACCGTCGGGAAGTCGCCCTGACTGACCACGGTCCTGTGTCACTTCCCACCGTGGCCGCTGAGTAAACTGAGCAGCTGACCCCTTGCCAGACGGACAGGCCCTGTCCCACGATGTCATCACGCAGGCCCTCACGCAGATTTATGTACCAGTCACTTTAGAAATAAAGGGACTGGAGGTGCGTGTCTGTGTATAGGGTACATTGGGTAAGACGCCGTTTGGGCTGCCCACACCCCGTACTGGGTTTGCTTCTGTTCCAGCTTCTTGCTGGAGCAGACTCTGGGAAGCAGCAGGTGGTGGCTCATGCAGTTGGATCCCTGCCACCGGCCTCAGAGACCCCGACTGAGTATCTTGCTCCTGGCTTGGCCTCACCCAGCCCTGACTGGGGGGTGAACCAGCAGATGGGACATCTCTTTGTCTCTCAGCCCTTCAAATAAAAGGAAAATAAAATCGGAAAGAAACAAAGGAAATTGGGCAACGTAGGGCTTCCCCTCCCAGGCTCTGCCACTGCCACTCTGCATGGAGGAATACTGCCCTCAGCCACAGGACAAGGGCACCTTGTAGTTTTAGTGCAGGTGGCGGCTGTGTGATGGCAGAGGCGAGTGGGATAGCTGGGTGCCACAGGCGGGGGTCCGGGCATCAGAGGGCGAAGCTTCAGACAGTGCCAACCAAGCCACGCCACGTCCACCTCTCGGAAGCACGGGTCGCTGGCTAAGACTCAACATACAAAGAACATGTTCCACAGCACAAGAGACCAGGGACCACTGGACCACGGGACCTTGCAGTGGAAGGTGGCAAACAAGCTACAGCCCCTGTGAGAGCTGCAGCATGCCGGCTGTGGGGTGAAGATGGCGGTTCCGCTTCTCCGCCTTTGCACGCGATTCCAGGAGGGTCTGCCGACAGCACATGGCTGTGCCCACCCTCACCACAGCCCAGTCCCTGGGCGGGGCCCCTCGCCCTCCGTGCACAGCTGCCACAGCAACTCCGAAGTACCACCCAGCCCTGTAGGCTCACTGCCTCTGGACACAGGGGCAAGGGGACACGGAAAACTCAGTCCGCAGGAGGACTCTGTCAGCCCCAGCGCCTCTATCCTCTTAAGCCTGTTTTTCTCTCTTCTGAGGAAGGTGAACTTGAGGCTGTGTTTTGGGGATGATGGCACGGAGAGTTACTCCAACGGTGTTGGGAGAGACGTGGCCTGTGGCCACCAGGGAGCAGCTCACACCAGGAGCCGGGAGCCGGGAGCCGGGAGCCGGGAGCCGCCCAGGCATTCATGACGGAACCGAGCTACACAGAGGGTGCCGGGCGCGCAGGAAACCCTCTAAAAACGAGAAACAACGAGAATGCCTTCCCCATCAAATCATTTTATTGGGTTAATTAAACAGCTTAAAGACGATTCATTTTGTTCGGTACCCTTCTAGAAAATATTTCAAGTTTTAAATGAACTTCCAATACATAAAACAAAATTACTTTACCATACACAAATTGCAGATCAAAATACAACACTCTGTTTCTGTTTTCTGACAGTTATAAAACCCAGTCGATACAAACTACATAAAAAAGATAAAACACTTTCACTGATCCTTGGTACAAGAGAACAGCACAGTGGCACAGGTCCCGGGGCACAGGAGCTGTGCCGGGGGAGGGGGAAGGGAAGGGTTCGACCCGTGGTTACCCACAACCTACTGAAGCATGTAGACAATACGCGTGCTCGGGGTTTAGGAAGGGTGACCGACCCTTTGTGCGGCCGTATACTTGTGAACCGGAGAGCAAGTGTGTGAGGAAGGTTACTCACTAACAGTGGCTTCTGACTGGGCTACATTTCACACCGGCAAAGGAGCAGATTACTCCACAGAACACAGCGCTACATGTGGACCACAGAATGCGAGACACCAGGTCAGTACAATTTCTCTGCTAGCCTACAGCGTCTGGGGAGTACAGTTTCACAAGTTGCATGCTTCCGGGACTTCCAGTATTTTGAGCCTTGCTTAGCTTGTGTGTCTTCCCTGTTTGCTAACAACAGGGCGCTGTGGACAGACAGGATGACTTGACCACACCCAATAAAGCCTCCTGTGCACCCACGTGAGGTTTACTAGGTCATAAAGGCTGCAGGTTTGAGTTCCTGCCACTCTGCGTGGAGCCGCGTCAGAAAGCGCAGGTGTTGAACTACAGAGGTGTGCGTTTACCAGGAGGAAGGCTGGTACGGAATTCTCCTTCTGGTATTCAAAGCATCCAAGTGCCAAATGAAGAGTGTGCTCAAGACTGGTTCCTGGCCAGGGTGACAGTCACCTGTAAGTGCCGTGCGTACCCCACACAGGCACGAGCCAGCGGGAGCAGAGAGCAGCCCTGCTGTGAGAGTCAAATTGCACCCACAACCTTGTTTGCAGTGATTTCCTTGAGGGCCTTCTCTCCTGACAGAGGCCTACACCAGCAGGAGAAAACAAAACTACGGCCCCCACCGCGATGCGCTATGGTCCCCAGGGACCCTGTGTGCCCAAGCCTGCCTGCACAGCTCTGTCCAATCCGCCGCTTCCCCCGCGTGGGTGCCTCACTTAGGCTGCGTCCACTGAAGCCAGCCTCTTTCCCACGTCTGTCACAGGTCACAAGTGGCATGGCTGGCATGGAACAAAACGACTATCACTAGTTCCCAGGTGACTGGAAGGGGTACAGGAGGGAGGAGCCGGTCACAGCGCGTCCACACCAAAGAACCCCAGGAGCGGAAAAGGCCTCGGGTTACCGAGCCAACGGCGAGCTGTGCTCAGGAGCCGGCGTCTTCTCACGGAAGGGCCCCGACTTGCCCCAGGGAGACAGGACGCCCCCTGCGCACTCGGCAGCCGCTGTCTCCAGGTGACTGGAGTTCCGCAGCTGAGCAGAGAACACCCCCGCTGCCCGCGCCAGAGCCCACGTGATTCCTCATGAAGAAGGGTCCGCATCCATTCAAAGAATGGACGCTAGATTGATATGTAATGATACACGCATTTTCTGGGTTTGCCTTCTGACAAACACTCGCACAGGTGGCCTCTCTGTCACTGTCCCTGGGTGACGGCAGCCTGGAGACTGCTCTCGGTAGGAGCTGAGAGAAGCTCGCTCTACCCAGCCCCCCAGGACATGCGGAACACAATCCATGCAGGGCCTGCCCAGGGGCCCCAGGCACGTCCCGCTGGACAGTGGGTCACCCAGTGCTGCCCGAGGCGCTGAGGCAGTGCAGGGGGAGGGGAGGTCCGTTCTAGCTTCAGCTGCTCAGGGAGCTGGGGTGCACTGGCCACCCCTGAGGCCTGCCCCGGGCAGCTCCAAGGGCTGGGTGACAGGCCTGGTAAGACAAAGGCAGTGTGAGAGCGCTGGTCGGGGAACCAGGAGAGCGATCCTGCCCCCTCTGAGTGCTCACTCAAGCTGTCAGAAACCAGGCTGGGCGAGGAGTGGGATGGAGGGGCAGGGGGCAGCGTGCGTGTGATGATGACAGACATCAAGTGCCTCAAAAACCCGCGCAGGGCAGCCTCCTGTGTCACAGCAGGTCCCTCAGCAGCACAGAAGGGACCTGTTCTTGCCCAGGGAGCCACCCAGCCCGTCACTGCGGAGCGGGGCCACAGACAGCAAAACCAACGTGCTTCCAACCCAAGGTCACGAGGAGTGAGGATGACGCAGGCGACGGGCAGCCTGCTCAGATGACCAGGGTGCTGCCCAGGCGACAAACCACTTGGGAAGGGATTTACAACGGAAGGCATGCGAGGCGAGGGTCGCTGCTCCAGTGGACAATACGGTTCGAGGAAAACCTCTGGCAAAGCATTTCTGGAAGTCCCGCTAGAATCAGAATGCCCAGGTGCAGAAGGTGAAGGGGCTGTGGCCAAGAAACTGGGGTGGTGATGGGCAGAGAGGAGGCTGGGTGGGCGGGAGGAACGTGGAGAGAGGGCAGGCATACTGAACAGACTCTTCTCCTCAAAAACCACCGAACAATTCAAGTACCAACCAATTTGTTCCTAAGGAAATGGTTCACAAAATCTCCCATTTGCAAGGAGCTTTGGGGACTCCAACCCATGGGTCCCCTGCCACAGGGCACAGTCCTCTGGCTGCAGCCATGGCCGTGGAGAGCTGGGCACTCAGGACACAGGAGGCATCTGCTGCACCAGTAGGCAGTTAGTTCTGTCTGGATGGAGATCAGATCCTGCCTCCGCAGCTCCGCCCACTGCCCGGGCGAGGCTCTTGGAGCACACGCGTCTGCCGTGCAGCCTCTGGCAGGCCAGATCCTTCAACGGCCCCCTGAGCCTGCAGCTCCCCCCAGCGGTCAGGCAGCATGAGACCTCCTCCCAGACGCCGCCCCCAGACAGCCCCGTGCTGCCACCTAGGACAGCTGGGTCTGCTGGCCCCAGGCATAACCCACGGCCCCTGCCACTTGCTCTTTCAGCAGCCACTGTCGTTTCTGAACGCAGACTGGAGATCCTAACTCCCAACCCAGCACCCCCCCACACGCACCTGCTCTGTGTCTCCACACAGGTCACTGACTTAACTGTTCAAAGGGACACTTGTGGATACCTCACTGTGCTGACGAGGGTCTGTTCTTTCAGCATGGCCTGGGCATGACTACTCAACCTGGCTGTTACGCCCTTTTCCTATTTGTAAAGATACCGACAACGATGCTGCCAAAGGTCTCACTGAGATCAACAGCACAGTCTCAGAGTGCGAGCTGTGCGGCACTAAGTGCTCCTTCTTGCTATCACTTTATCAAACAGCCTCCTTTATTTGAAGGTACAAAAGTTCTCTCACACATACGCACACACGTACTTGCCTGCTTTTTTTTTTTTAAGTTTTATGTAATATATCCACATTAAGAAAACATAGTTTCGGCCTACTGGCCTCAAACAGATCTTAGAAAATACCTAGTTTATTTGAACAATGTAGACTACTCTCTTTGATATTTTAGTAGGAAAAAAAAAAAAAAGAAATCCGCATTAGCAGAGAGTTTTGAGTATCCTTGAGGGCTTCATTAGGCAAATTCCCCACAGAGGGCCATTCATCACAAGCTAAATTCTAACAAGCTACACACAGGCGGGATGCTTCTGCTGCCTAGGGTCACCCTGGATAAGGACACAGAGACGCAGGAGGGAGGCGGCACGGGTCCAGGTTCCCTTGCTGTCCCACGGCAGCAGCCATTGGATGAAGAGAGCAGTGAGGCCAGGGATGCTTGGCTCCGGTACCCCCTGTGCTAAGACAGGAGCAGTGACAGTCACTACTGACGAGGGCAAGGCACCAGCCCAAGTCTGAAGGTCACTGCTACAGTCAACCTGCATGACCACCTGCCCAGGTAAATGCCCCACTGCCTTACTCCGGCAGGTACAAGACTGAGTTGAGCTTTGGGGCCAAAGAGCAGAAGTGTCCTCCACCCCAGCGTCACCAGACACCACAGCGTGCACTCAGCACCTGGGTTTGCTGGGCAAAGAATGTTCCAGAACAGTCAACAACGCCTGGGCTGCAGTGAGAGGGACAGGCCCAGGTTCTCTTGGGAACCATGGAGAGGAAGTGTCCAAGTCCTGCAGCCACATCAACAGGGCACTGGCAGACGGTCACCTGTGGAGGGACCTTGTCATTCCACGGAGTCAGGAGCAAGCCCTCCCTAACTCTGAAAAGCATAGGCAGAAAAAGCAAATCTTATGAACGCATGAGGACAGTTCGGTGTTAAATTTTACTGGCGCCTAACTTACTACAAGCACGCGAGGCTTTCAGGAATGGGCACACCTGTTCTGGTCACAGCGACCATCCCAGTACTCTATATTTACTAAGGCCACAGCCTACCTGCCCATTGCCTGAGCTAGATCATTTCTACAAGAGACGACTCCCAGAGGGAGGGTGTGTCCACGGTGATGCACGTGGTGATGGCACCAGGCGAGCTGGCAGACGCTGGGGGCGTGGACAAGGCACCATGTACCAGGAAAGCATGTCAGATTGCTCCTGTGTTGGGAAACACTTTGAGAATTTCACTTAAAACCTTGGGCTATCAGAAAGAAAAGAGGGGAGGGGCTTAGTCACGAGCTGCTATTTCCATCAAAATTAGAGTCGTGGGAAACAACAGCACCTATGGAAACATCTGAGGGTGCCCCACTGGGTCACACACAGGCAGACCCACTTCCCTGCTGGGCCTAGGACAGAAGGAAGCTCCCTGTGTGCACACAGCGGTGGGGGTGAAATACCCCGCATTTCTGCACTAGAAAACAGAGCCTTTCAGAGACTCTTTTTTTTAAAGTTCAAGTAATCCCTCGGCAGCAGCTCCAGGAGAATCATTGTTCCTCCTGATGGAAAGTGCCTATTCTAAATGGAGATTGTGCGCCTCAAGGCCCTGACTGCTTGCTTCCAGGCTTTTGTTAAAGGACAGAGTGTGTTGAATTCCTCTAACTTGGCAGGGGGTCAAGCACAACACTACCTAATGAGGTAGCTGAGAACAGAGGTTTTCCTATAAACACAAAGAACCGGGGGAATAAGTGCATGAGGGAATAAGTGCACGCAACTCTCATCCAATTAAACAGGAAACGTGATAAAGCAAGCTATGTATAGTTGTATTTAAAGCAAGGTCATTGGTAGAACTTGAAAGAATGTAACTCCAGGTCCTAAGGTACACCTTACTACACCTGAGTGAAAACAGCAATAAGGTCCCAGGCAGAAGACAGACTGGAGGCAGGCTCCACCTCCCTCCCCCACCCATGCTGCCTCTAATTTCACGGTTATCAAGTTGAACATCAATACCAGAGTTTATAATCAGGTCAAAGTTCAGGTGAGTACCCATTTTAAAAGACTGGTTTTTATCTCTAAATAAAAAAGAAAAGAGAAAGTAACAGATGTTTCTCACTGAATAATTACCAACTTAGTTTTATTTGTTGGTATCAGGAGAAAGGGAAGGAGCTGAAAAATCCAATCACCGGGAGTCCAGTGACAGAACTGAAGAACAAACTTTGCTAAACAACGTGGATTAGGCCAGAGAAAGCAGGCGCATAACTGGATCCTCCTAGGTCACAGAAATGGAACTACTACAAGGACATGGTCTTGAGACAGATTTAAAGTCATAGAGTCACTTCTGAAAAAACACAAAATTTAAAAAAAGTCTTGTTGGTCGACCTGGTAGATGGAGAACTAGACCTGACTGCCCGCGCACGCGTGTGGGAGCCACCTACGGGCAAGTGGGTCTGCGCTCGCCTACGCCAGCTGCGGAGAACACTCAGGGCTCGTGAAAGAGGCGGGAAACACTCTCCTCAGCACTTGAGGACCCAGCTTCCTCCTCCCTGCTGATCACAGGCTAGCGGAGGACAGCCAAGGTCACGCTTCTCATCGCTTCCCTTTACACACAAACACCTACTTCTCTTCTTAGGACCTTCCTAAAATCCCAAATTTCTGGGAGCTAACTGGTGAACAAAGACGTTTCACCTTACATCTGCACAACTTGACTACAACAGGATGACTCTATGATGAAAGATACTCGTATGCCAAGTAAAACCAACTTATAGGCTAAGAGGCTGAAGAACGCATTGGTACCCAAGAGCTTGGAGCTGCACCTGCTTGGGCCTCAGAGACTGCTGCCGGACAGTGCAGAGGGCGTGCCACCCGTTCCAGCTACGTGAGGACCAGAGCAATGCATTATGGAGCCCATGTACAAAGTGTTAAATAAAATCAACATTAAACAGGAGTGCTGGGTCTCAAAAATCCTACAGAACGTATGGAGACCCAGGGTTGTGCGCAGTGGATCAGGCACTTGGCATTGTTTTTTTTTTCTTCTGGCTTTCCACTCCATAACAAGAGGCCAGCCCGTCTGTGTACAAAGCGTCTCGTCAAAAACCCAGCAAAATTAGTCACTCTCAGAGAGCATAACCCAGTGAAAGCCACCCCTCGGACCACAGGAATACCTGGGGATCTCAAAAGGCTCACAGAACATGCGTATTATGAAATAACTAGGTGAGCTGATGACAGGCAGGGTCCCGGTGCATCCCTGCATCCCGCAGCAGGCTACAAGCCAGAGGGGGAGGGCAGTCTGACATCCGCCTCCTTGTTAAGCTCCCAGAGACACAGGCCCAGTTCCCAGTGGGTGCTCAGTGGACACCTGCTGACAGCCCCAGGGCAGCTTTGCTCTGCTGGGCCAGGTTCAGGGGCAGCCCCCACAAAAGCCGCCTCTCCCTTCCTTCCGCAGGGTGTCGGAGGGTTGCAGCACCTTTGAATGGGTACAAAGAAAGTGCCACCTCTTTCTCTCCCCAGCGAATCAAATGTCTCCATCTGTCCACAGGAGGCCTTTTGAATCAACAAAGCCAACATGCTGAAGGTCATAGTGCAGGGTTTTCAGCACTCCTGGGAAAACTTGTGGGGGTCCCCGGCTTGGCACCTGCAGTAGGAATGTACCAAGGGAACCCCAAGGGCCCAAGGCGACTAAGCTCTTCCTCCAGGAACCTAACTTTGTACCCACACGTCGCAGCAGACAGTCCTCCCTTCACCTAATCGACACAAAGAATGTATTTCCTCTACCTTGCCTGGCGAAACTCTCCACTTGTGAATAGAAAAATGACACTTTCAAGCCATCAGTGAAGAAAGTTCCACCTCTGAGGTGGCCTGCAGCGTAAGAGAACACCCCACCACCAGCGCCAGAACAGCCGGCACGCTCTGGTCGTTGCTGCACAGTGTGAGAAGGTGTGCTATCAGTCACCAGCTCCTCACGGCAGTCACATACAAAGCCAGACAACAAACATACCGGCTACTCAGGCCAAGTATCCGCTGCACACCCTGCTAGCTGGGGACCACTGTTTTACATCCAGCTGAAGAGGAGAAAAGCAAACATCAAGCAAAAGTACAAACTGCAACTATGTGACTACTTGAGTTTAACACGCAGAATAAACTGAAAGCGGGACACCCAGGCTCAAGAACTGATGTGAAGCACCAGGACACCGGACACGTGTAGTTTGGAACTACAACTAAAAAGTAAACATGTACAAATGGATTTCTGAAGTCATGCGGCACAACACACGCACGCACACACACACGCTCACTCACGCATCTCACCCTTTCTCTTCTCCCAGGGTGTAAGCACTACCAAACACACACCAAAAAACTTCATTTTAAGTTAAACACTTATAATTTGGATGTGTTAAAGAAAGAAACAAACAAACCTATTGAAGACAGTAGGCTGGGAGAGACGCTTTAAATATCCACTCACTCTAACCTAAGACAACTCTCCTTCTAGTGGTGGGACAAGGAAAATAAATTGCACTTCCCCATAGATACTTGTATGTAACATTTGAGGACCTACCCTCAGCTGCCAATTCCCACACATCTGGTCAAAGTGCTTAACTGAGAAAGAAGTATCAGGAACAACAGGTGTTTCAAGGCATAAGTGGAATGTTAAAACACAAACCTGCATGAAATGAATTACAATTTATTTCACAATACTGAAATAAATGTAATATACAAAGAAGGTCATGATTAATTTCGCAACATAAGAAAATTAAATACAACGCTATGCTTCAACACAGCATTTTTATATTTATATTTAGTAAAACAACAGTTTGGCACTTAGTAGCTTTTGTTGGTTATTGCATCCCATATTATGTGGCAAATTTATTTTATAAAATATTATCTAATTTCTGCAGCTACAGTGTCACTGAACTGAATTAAAAAAAAAACAACCTATGTTTTATAAAATGGGTTTACCAAGTCAAGCAGGCACTGATAACATTGCAGTAGGAACCCACTCACTCCTCAATAATCATTTATCTCCGTGGAGAGGCCTGGCATGGATGGAAGAATTTTAAATTTCAGTGCTGACAGACGTCCACGTTCCCCAGCTGCAGCTCTGACGCCCAGGGACTACACTGTCCAGGGTACATCTCACCAGGCAAGTCCACCTCTGCTGCAATTGGTTCCCTCTTGAACTAAGACCTAACTATAAAAACAAAGACGTCTTTGAAGTAGCCACAGAGCTTGTTCTAATTAAAACACATCCAAAGGTCACCGGGAAAACATGGAGACAACAGCCGACCGGCACACAGTAAAACTCTATGCCCGGCTCTGATTCAAATATCAAATTTGGATGCTGAATGTGTGGCCCATTGGGCCACTCTGGTATATAAGATACAAACTTCGGATCTTCTTTCACTAAGTAGCTGCTGGACAGATGGAGAGCTAAGGTGGCACACGTGATGTGCTCTGGAACCGCCCTGCACAGGGCCTCTGTCAGCAGCTTTCGTAGCTGTGGACTGACTTCCGGCAGTCAGTCGCAGACGGGCCACCCTTCTAGGCTCAAGGCTGGGAAACCAGAAGCAACACTCCGTGTGCATGTTAACAGCACACAAACATTCCACACAGGACGTCTCCAGGAGAAATGCCTGTTCTCAAATTTACAACCAAAGAATACATTTATACACTTATTAGTCGTTAAGACAAAATGTTGCTCCTTTAGCCACATTCTCCACGAAAAACAAAGCCGTAGAAAACAATTAAAAATGAAGTACTCGATAGTAAATTGATTAGAAATTCGATATTGCATAAAATTCAAATTATGAAGTAATCAAACACTTTGAGGTCCCTGGTTTGACACTCAGGTGGTGGAATTTGAATGGAAAACAAACTCTCTCGCAAGACAACTTCCGCTACTGGGGACTTCTCCCCCTCTGGTGGGAGGTGGGCTGGGAGAGAGGCAGAGACAGGGAAGAGGAAAAGAGGAGCAGATCGACTCGTTCTACATGAACAGAATGAAATTAAGTTGAGGTAGTTTATTCTACCAGCCAAACTTTACTCATAATGTAATTTGTCTGTAACTCTCACCAGCAAACAGCACTGGGAAAATTCTACTCCAAAGACTGAACTATGAACACAGAATTGCATCCTAAGACAAGTTTTCAAATTCCAAACAGTAGTAAACAAGACTTGTGTGCTTTCAGACACATTATATTAGAAAGTTTTTGATCCCTATATATTTTGTCTAGACAGCTTTTTTTTTTTAACAGTCACAGAAGACCTTTCCTATTTGTCCAACTCAAGCCTTTCTCTCTCCCATTCACCAATATCCTACTTTAGAAATGGTTCTGATCAAATGGAAAGGAAGAGTGGTGCTGCGTGAGATCCTTCACGATTCCGACAGCACTACCCCAGAAACAACGGCATGACACATCTCAATCAAGCTAACGCACCGGCTAGCAACCTCCTGCAGGTTCACGCGAGGGCTGCGACCTGACTCATCGATTACCACACCTTTACATTACTAAGATAGAAGGTTAGTCTCATCATAATACAGCTTTTAACAGATTCTTAGGATGTAATACTAGTAATAAATGGAGACTACCTGACTTATTGTCCAATCTAACATTTGAGGCACAAGTCTTAACTCGTTGGGCAGGGTTAGGCATAATAGATCCTTCCCAGTGCGATAGAAAAGCGATCTGGGTATGTCTGGATATGTTGATTTGCATATATGGATTTGTTGTTTGTTCACCAAAGCCACACACTTGAACCCAGCAGTCAGGCAGCTGTGGTTCCCTTCAGGGAAATGCACCTCAGTATCTGAACTTGGACATTTTACAGCACACAGCTCCCGCTCGCTTCTCCTCTGCACGTCTGCTAGCCTCCACTGCCTACGGCCCACCTAACTGAGGAGCAGATCCCTCCCAGGCAGTTTCTCCACACTTCCCTGTTCTCTCAAACGGGAGCTGAGGCTCAAGCTTGGGAAGCATTACGAAACCACCAAAAAGGTACCACAGCAACACCCAGCACGCACAGCGAGTTTCAGCTGCCATCTCTTGTCCTCCCTTACGTAAAGCTATGTCATGGTGCTCTCGGGCAGGCTCTCGCGTTCTGCTCCGCTTCTTCCTCATGGCGAATGGACACGGATACGGAATAAGCCTTGCTGAAGCTGCAGGCGGAAGAGCTTGCAATTTGCAATACGTAAGGCTGCACACCCGGTGCGGCGAAGGTCGGATGGAAGAAGTGGTTTCGTGTGGTGCCAGGTTCCTGTGCTGCGTTTAAACTCACGCACATAGTCGTAATTGGTACCTAATCCACAAAAACACACACAGCCGTGATGAGGTGCCTCAGAATCACCAGCAACAGTTCTGACAAAGTCACCAGTACTCTTACCTGTATCCAGATCTCCGATAACATAAATACTAGCTCCTATAGGCACAGCTCCATAGACGAAAGAGGAACTGGCAGGGATGCACAGGTTCTGGTCGTTAAGGTAGATCCACCTGAAAGCAAAGTGGCAGACAAAACTAAGGAAATCGAAGCGGTGACCACGACATTTAGGAAGACTGCCTGACCGAGCCACACCAGCTGCTCCACGCTGACTCCCACTCTAGCTCCAGGTAACCCCGGACGGGCTTCCTGACATGCAGAGGTTAATTCTGCCAGGGCTGGAAGGTCACGCACAGCGCATCACAGAGTGTGTGCTCTCCAGTCTGCTGCTTAGAGTGAGCACAGAGCTTCGGAGAGTCAGCCGTGTTGTCTGCAGCAGGAATTCGCTCATTTCTAGAAAGCATCCCATTACACGGACGGGCCAGAATTTACATTCACCTGCTGATGAGCGCACTTGGCAGTGTTTCACATTGTGAACAAGGCTGAAGTGAACTTGAGGGTGCAAGGTTTTCTGTGGACCCAAGCTACGGAATCGCAGGGTTTACGGTAAGGGTTATTCCATGTGATGGGAAAATGCCTCACTGCTTTCCAAAGGGTGGTGCGTTCTGCTTTCCCAGGAGCAGTTTACGAAAATCCCAATGCTTGGTATTTCTGTCAGCTCTTGGTACTGCCAGTCTTTTTGATTTCAGCCACTTTCCTGGTGTGTGTTTCCAAAGAACAATGATGGAGAGCAGCTCTGCATGTGCTGACTGGCATTTCACGGGTCTCGTGCCAATGTCTGCTCAGAGTTTTGCTGCTTTCAAAAATTCGTTTACTGTCTTCCTATTGAATCGCAAGGTTCTTTATTATTTTGTAGACACAGGCCTTTATGAGATTATGAGTATGAGTATTATGAATATGCTTCCCAGCATGCAGGCTGTTCATCTCAGTTAGAGAGATTGTCCTCCTAAACCATCTTCTGGAAATTCTATGGCTTTAGCTCTTACATTTTAGATTACTTGTGTGTAAGGCAGGAGTCAAAGATCACTTTTCTCCACACAGATAGCCAGTTTCCCCAGGACCATTTGCTGCAGGCCTTTCTTTCCCCACTAACTGCCTTAGCACCTCTGTTGAAAATCAGTTTAGTAACCACTAATAGGATCCTGAGCTCCATGAAGAAGTGTCTGATGCAGAGTGAGGCAGAGAAAAGAAGACATGAGCCTGGAGCACCTCGTGGGGCCAGAACGGAGGTGACTGGACAAGGACAGGGGCTGCAGGAGCCGATGGGGGTGGGGCCAGAACAGAGGTGCCTGGACAAGGATGGGGGCCACAGGAGCCGACAGGGGTGGGGCCAGAACGGAGGTGACTGGACAAGGACAGCGGCCACAGGAGCCGACGGGGGTGGGGCTAGAATGGAGGTGCCCGGACAAGGACAGCGGCCACAGGAGCCGATGGGGGTGGGGCTAGAATGGAGGTGCCCGGACAAGGATGGGGGCCACAGGAGCCGATGGGGGTGGGGCCAGAACGGAGGTGCCTGGACAAGGATGGGGGCCGCAGGAGCCGACAGGGGTGGGGCCAGAACGGAGGTGCCTGGACAAGGATGGGGGCCGCAGGAGCCGACAGGGGTGGGGCCAGAACGGAGGTGCCTGGACAAGGATGGGGGCCACAGGAGCCGACAGGGGTGGGGCCAGAACGGAGGTGCCTGGACAAGGATGAGGGCCACAGGAGCCGACGGGGGTGGGGCCAGAACGGAGATGCCTGGACAAGGACAGGGGACACAGGAGCTGCTGAAGCTGGGACAATCTGGGCAATCTCAACGCCGCAGCACTGGACTTACAGGGTAAAACATCCATGAATCCATACTTACAAGTAATAGAAAAAAACCTAAAAAGAAGGGAGACGGGAGGGATTTTTTACAGAAGAATTCCAAGTAACACACACAGAAGGAATGTGGGACACAATCACCTCTAGGCAAACGGCACAGTCATAAGCACCACAGGCTAGGTCCACTGTGTGCGAGAGGTAGAATTAGTGGGTGGTCAGCGGTGCCAAACCCCTGCATGCTCCTCTCCCGAGTACCCACTACGATGTCTCTCTTCTGTCCTGGACCTAACGGATGCTTTCTTCACAATTCCTCTTGACACCTCCTCCCACTCTTTGCCTTTACCTGGTCTGACCCCGACACTCACCTGGAGCGAGCGTATTATCCCAAGATTTCTGGAACAGTGGGCAGCTCTGGGCTGGCCCTCCAGGCGATCTCGCCTCTATTGACCTGCCACCCCACACCCTATTTCAATATGTTGATGATCTCTGTAGCCCTCCCGAGACACCTGTCCCCAACAAACCACGAGTCTCTTGAACTTTCTAGCTGAGAAAGGTTATTGGGCGTCTCCAAAGAAGGCTTCCACTGCTGTCACCTTCTTGGGACTCCTGGTGATGCTAGACACTCCGTTCCTTTCCCATGTACTAAGTGAGACCTCCTCTTTCTTGGGACTTGTGGGATATTTTCACATCTGGATTTCAAACTTTTCTCTTATATGCTAAACCTATGAAGCCACGAGAGGCAATCTAGATGGCCCTTGCAAGAGACTTCCTCCCTAGAGACCCCATTCCAAACCCTAAAGAAGGCTCTTCTACAAGCCCGCCTTGAGTCTTCCCAGCCGACTTAAACCGTTCCTCCTCTCTATTCATAGCTCTAAGGGGCAGGCACTCAGTCTCCTGGCCCAAAAGGCCAGAGATATTACACCTGTGACCTCTTTCTCCAGTTAGATGGGGTTTATCAAGGACGGTCCCAAGGCCGAGGGGTCATGGCAGCCCTTCTCATATCCGAGGCCCAAAAGCTAACCTTTCATCACCCTTACAAATCTGGTCCTCTCATGGGTTGCAAGACCTCCTCAGCCACCGGGCTTTTCAATCTGTATCGCCATCTCGCGTCCCAGTTCTTCGCTCCACCCTTCTCCAGCCCACCGTTACCTGTCATCGCTGCTCTTCTCTCAGCCCAGCTACTCCCCTCCCCTCGAACCCCACTCCTGTCCTGACTTCCTGGACTTTTCCCTGACTACATTTCACCACCTCACAGACACTCCGATTCCCAAAGCCCCGGATTGGCTCACTGATGGTAGTGCTCCTACAACTCCCCCTTTTCTCACTGGATACGCCATGATTGAGGGACACTGTGATGACACCTCCCCCTCTTCCCCACTTAGGGTCACAGAGGCTGGGCCCCTACCTCAAGGCACTACCTCCCAACAGGCCGAACTGTTAGCCTTGATTCAGGCTTCACCTTAGCCAAAGGAAAGACAGCCAATATGTACACAGATTCCTGATATGCCTATAATATCACCCATTCCAGTGCCCAGATATGGCGAGAAAGGGGCTTTCTGACAGCCCGAGGGACCCCTATAATAAACGGCAAGCCGACTAAAGCTCTTCTCGATGCCGCCCAGCTGCCAGCAAAGCCCCTATTACTCACTGAAGAGGACACCCGAAAGGTAAACAATCCCTATCCGAAGCTCACAGCCAGGCTGATGACAGCTACGCAGCGGCTCCTGGGGAGACAATCCCATCTCTTCTCTGCAGCTCAGCCCCGTCTAGTCAGACCTAGAAACCTCTCCGTTCCAACAACAAAGGGCATCTAGAAAGGATTCATGGTGGCTTCCAGATGAGAAACTAATACTCCCTTCTTCTCTCCAAGTTACTTTCTAAAGAACCTCCATTCTTTCTATCACTCCAACTCTCTTCTTCACTTCTGAGGTCACACATTCTCTAACTCCTGCTATGGAGAAGCTGCGTAACATACCTCAGACATGTAGCATGTGCCAAACTGCTAACCTCAACTCAGGCCCCCCACTCCCCACTCACCAGGCTGGTGGGTCACTCCCAGGAGAGGACTGGCAGATTCACTCACATGCTACCAGTTAGGCGAACACCTTACCTTCTGGTGATGGTGGACAACTTCTTGGGGTGGGTGGAAGCTTTTCCCATGACTAACAAAAGAGCTTCTACTGTTTCCACTATACATTTAAATGATATCACCCCAAGATTTGGATTACCTGATTCCATTCAGCCAGACAATGGACGGGAGTTTACCTCTCATATTACTCAAATAGTATTTGCCTCTCTTCATATCTCATGGCATTTTTTTTTTTTTTTTGACAGGCAGAGTGGACAGTGAGAGAGAGAGAGAGAAGGAGAGAAAGGTCTTCCTTTACCGTTGGTTCACCCTCCAATGGCTGCTGCGGCTGGTGCGCTGTGGCACACCGCACTGATCCAAAGCCAGGAGCCAGGTGCTTCTCCTGGTCTCCCATGCGGGTGCAGGGCCCAAGCACTTGGGCCATCCTCCACTGCACTCCCGGGCCACAGCAGAGAGCTGGACTGGAAGAGGAGCAACCGGGACAGAATCCAGCGTCCCGACTGGGACTAGAACCTGGTGTGCCGGCGCCGCAAGGCGGAGGATTAGCCTAGTGAGCCGTGGCACCGGTCATCTCATGGCTTTTTCATACCCCCCACCCCCCCACCCCCTTTCAGGAAAGTAGAACGAATGAATGGAATTTTAAAACAGGACCCAACTAAACTCTCCGTCCAGGTCACTTAGACTGGGTGAAACTCCTCCCTCTAGCTCTGTTACGAATCTGATCTCTTCCCCAGAAGGCCCTAATGCTTAGCCCGTCTGAAATTCTCTATGGAGGGCCTCTCCTCTCACCTAACTTCCCTCCCCTACAAAACCTTGCAGCTGTTCCTCCTGCTCTCAGTTTCCCTCTTCTCACTGCAATGCACTCTCACTTACGGACCTTTGCAGACATGCACCTGCCCAAACCACACTCTGCCTCCCTACTCTGTTCCTACTTCTTAACCTGGTGACTGGGTTTGTCTAAAACAAAATGAGGCTGCTCTAAAGCCAAAGTGGAGTAGGCTCTGTGAGGTGATACTGACTAATCCCACCATGGCCAAACTCAAAGGGCACCCCCTTGGGTATGTTTTACTTCATTACAACAAGTAACATCTCCCTAAGTCTACCCCACAGGACCCACCTCTCAGGTTGACACACTAATGAGAGGTATTCACAAGGTCATCGTCTCCGCTGTGGGCGATGTCTCTAGTACCTCTTTTTGCCCTCATAATCTTAGTGCTCCTATTTCTGCCACGCATAATTAGCTTGCTCCAAAGGTTCCTTCAGGAACGAATAACTGCTGTATCTCAAGCCATCTCGCAGGTGCAACATGAGACTGCTCATCTTCTTCAATCAATCCAATCTGGAGTGTAGACCCCACTCAAGTCCTGGCTCCATGTCTACACCCCATATCAGCAGGAAGTAGCCAGAGGAATCAGTGCCCCTTTTGGTTATATAGACTCAGAGTCAGAACTGATGGAACAAGGACATAAGCCTCAGCCACATAAACACTGGAATTTATTCCTTACCCTCGAATCTCAAGTGGGGTGCACATCCTATTGCCTTCATACCCCACCCACCATGGCCACCTGAAAGACCAGTTCCCGGAATCACCCCCACACCACTCCCATTCCTAGCCCTCCTAAAATATAAAACGGCCCAGCCCCTGGGGGTCAGGGCCTCTGCCGTGGGTTCCATCATGTGCAGCTGGCAGTTGGTCACCCACCTCTATGAATTTATTTTCTCTGAATAAATTTGGTCTGGCTGTAAAAACAACACCACCAAAAACTCAGTGGGTCAGAGCCAGTACTGTGGTGTAGCAGGTAAGGTAGCTGCCTGCAGTGCTGGTACCCCATGTGGGAGCCCGTTTGAATCCTGGATGCTCCACTTCTGATCCAGCTCTCTGCTATGGCCATGGGCACCTGCACCCACGTGGAAGACCCAGAAGAAGCTCCTGGCTCCTGGCTTTGGATCGGCCCAGTTCTGGCTGTTGCAGCCATCTGGAAAGTGATCTAGTAGACAGAAGACCTCTCTTTCTCTCTACTGCCTCTGCCTCTCTGTAACTCTACCTTTCAAATAAATAAATAAATCTTTTAAAAAAAATCAGTGGGTCAAGTTTAAGGATAAATAGCAGTTTTGCATATTCCCAAGTTGGCTCCTCTAAGATGTTAATTACCAAGGGAAAAATCTTAACTTGCTAATGGAGAAACCAATGGACACCACCTTAACCAAGAAGTAATCAGGACTAACCCCAGCAGCAAGAAAGCACAGGGACACAGGGCGTGACGTCACTGCTGTGCTGTGGCCAGAATGCATAACCTCAGCTAATCACGTGAAGTCCTGAGATAAACCCAGCTCAGGAGACACTCTACAAAAGAGCCGACTCATAATCTTCAAGAGCATCAAGGTCATGAAGACAAGGAAAGACTGAGGGACCCATCAGAGATTCCCGGAGCCAAGGAAACACAGCTGCCGAACGCACTGGAGAACCCGGATCAGATCCCAGGACAGAGGGAAGAGACGTCAGTGGGAAAGCTGGTGGCACCCCAGTGAGTCTGTGCAGCACAGTCCTGACAAGACTGCACTACACGACTGTCCCGCTTTTGATGCTTGTACTCTGGTCATGTACGATGGTAACGTTAGGAGAAGTTGAGTAACTTACGCGAACTCTATTTTTGCCACTTTTCTACAAGTCTAAAACCGTGCCAAAATAAAAGGGTTTCTGCCTCTTTGCTGCAAGTACATCTGAGGCCTGCTATGTAGTAACATCCATGAGAGTGAAGTGACCTAGAATTTCCTGTTCCTAGCTCACAGCCTGCCAGGACACAGCAGATGTCAGGAGGACCTGGGACTACGTCTACACAGCCTCACGAGCCACCAACATCTACTCACACTGAACACTGGAACACGTGGGTGTGCACGGACATGGGGCCTGCTCAGACTCTGTG